GATGGTGATGAAGACAATGATGGTGGTGGTAGTGCTGATGGTGGTGGTGGTAGTGTTGATGGTGATGGCAATGATGGTTATGGTGATGATGATGAAGACAATGATGTTGGTGGTAGTGCTGATGGTGATGATGGTGGTGGTGACGGTGATGATGGTTATGGTGATGGTGATGAAGACAATGGTGGTGGTAGTGCTGATGGTGGTGGTGGTAGTGGTGATGGCAATGATGGTTATGGTGATGATGATGAAGACAATGGTGGTGGTAGTGCTGATGGTGGTGGTGGTAGTGGTGATGGCAATGATGGTTATGGTGATGGTGATGAAGACAATGATGGTGGTGGTAGTGCTGATGGTGATGATGGTGGTGGTGACAGTGATGATGGTTATGGTGATGGTGATGAAGACAATGATGGTGGTGGTAGTGCTGATGGTGGTGGTGGTAGTGGTGATGGCAATGATGGTTATGGTGATGGTGATGAAGACAATGATGGTGGTGGTAGTGCTGATGGTGATGATGGTGGTGGTGACAGTGATGATGGTTATGGTGATGGTGATGAAGACAATGGTGGTGGTAGTGCTGATGGTGGTGGTGGTGGTGGTGGTGACAGTGATGATGGTTATGATGATGGTGATGAAGACAATGATGGTGGTGGTAGTGCTGATGGTGATGGTGGTGGTGGTGATGATGATGAAGACAATGGTGGTGGTAGTGCTGATGGTGATGATGGTGGTGGTGATGGCAATGATGGTTATGGTGATGATGATGAAGAGAATGATGGTGGTGGTAGTGCTGATGGTGATGATGGTGGTGGTGACAGTGATGATGGTTATGGTGATGGTGAAGACAATGATGTTGGTGGTAGTGCTGATGGTGATGGTGGTGGTGGTGATGATGATGAAGACAATGGTGGTGGTAGTGCTGATGGTGATGATGGTGGTGGTGATGGCAATGATGGTTATGGTGATGATGATGAAGAGAATGATGGTGGTGGTAGTGCTGATGGTGATGATGGTGGTGGTGACAGTGATGATGGTTATGGTGATGGTGAAGACAATGATGTTGGTGGTAGTGCTGATGGTGATGATGGTGGTGGTGACAGTGATGATGGTTATGGTGATGGTGATGAAGACAATGGTGGTGGTAGTGTTGATGATGATGATGGTGGTGGTGACGGTGGTGATGGTTATGGTGATGGTGATGAAGACAATGGTGGTGGTGGTAGTGCTGATGGTGATGATGGTGGTGGTGACAGTGATGATGGTTATGGTGATGGTGAAGACAATGGTGGTGGTGGTAGTGCTGATGGTGATGATGGTGGTGGTGACAGTGATGATGGTTATGGTGATGGTGAAGACAATGATGGTGGTGGTAGTGCTGATGGTGATGATGGTGGTGGTGACAGTGATGATGGTTATGGTGATGGTGATGAAGACAATGATGGTGGTGGTAGTGCTGATGGTGATGATGGTGGTGGTGACAGTGATGATGGTTATGGTGATGGTGATGAAGACAATGATGGTGGTGGTAGTGCTGATGGTTATGATGGTGGCGGTGGTGGTGATGGTGATGATGGTTATGGTGATGCGATGAAGACAATGGTGGTGGTGGTAGTGTTGATGGTGATGGTGGTGGTGGTGATGATGATGAAGACAATGGTGGTGGTAGTGCTGATGGTGGTGGTGGTAGTGGTGATGGCAATGATGGTTATGGTGATGATGATGAAGACAATGATGGTGGTGGTAGTGCTGATGGTGATGATGGTGGTGGTGACAGTGATGATAGTTATGGTGATGGTGATGAAGACAATGATGTTGGTGGTAGTGCTGATGGTGATGGTGGTGGTGGTGTTGGTGATGAAGACAATGATGTTGGTGGTAGTGCTGATGGTGATGGTGGTGTTGGTGTTGGTGATGAAGACAATGATGTTGGTGGTAGTGCTGATGGTGATGGTGGTGGTGGTGTTGGTGATGAAGACAATGATGGTGGTGGTAGTGTTGATGGTGATGGTGGTGGTGGTGATGGTGATGAAGACAATGGTGGTGGTAGTGCTGATGGTGGTGGTGGTAGTGGTGATGGCAATGATGGTTATGGTGATGATGATGAAGACAATGATGGTGGTGGTAGTGCTGATGGTGATGATGGTGGTGGTGACAGTGATGATGGTTATGGTGATGGTGATGAAGACAATGATGGTGGTGGTAGTGCTGATAGTGATGATGGTGGTGGTTGTGGTGGTGGTGATGGTGATGAAGACAATTGTGATGATGATGGTGGTGATGATGATGATAAATGGGAAATTATATAGTTGACTGCACAAAATGTAACAATGACGACAACAGTGATGGCAGCAATGATGGTGAGGATGATGGTGAAGATGATGATGGTGAGGATGATGGTGGTGAGGATGATGGTGAGGATGATGGTGGTGAGGATGATGGTGGTGAGGATGATGGTGGTGAGGATGATGGTGGTGAGGATGATGATGGTGAGGATGATGGTGAGGATGATGGTGGTGAGGATAATGGTGAGGATGATGGTGGTGAGGATGATGATGGTGAGGATGATGGTGGTGAGGATGATGATGGTGAGGATGATGGTGGTGAGGATGATGATGGTGAGGATGATGATGGTGAGGATGATGGTGGTGAGGATGATGATGGTGACTGCTAACATCATTGAACACTCAGGTTTGCTAGACATCAATCTTATAAGCATTTTATTTGGATTAAACATATATTAACTTCAGGGAAACCTGGTTAGTGGGGGTTAGTATTTTACTGGTTCTACCCATGAGAAAAGTGAGACACAGAAGATTCAATTATCCCCGCACAGGAACACCTAAAGACAGAAACCTGGGTCCCTGATGGTGCTGTGATCCATTCTACAAGCCTGGGACTGCTGAGCCCTGTACCTGTTTCACATCAAAAGCAATAGGATTCTAAGATATTTCAGCTCATATTGTTTTGAATCTCTGTTAGTCTCAGCTTAGTCTAATATTTTATAGTGGAAACTTAAAATGTGGCAAAATAATGAACTGTGAACTTAAGTGAGGATCCCTTTAAGACATCAATGTCCCTGGGCCATCTCCACTCAAGGGACCACAGCCTCCTTTCTGTGTTAGGGAGCTTGTGTCAATGTTCTGGGTCTTTGGGGCAGGGTGGTATGTGGCTCTCCCTCGGTCTTCAGGGGTAAAACAGATACTATAATTGAGCTCTCCCTATTGCCTTCTGAGTTTGGATAAGTGATTCGTCCTCTTAGTTTCCTCATCTGCAAAGTGGAGATGATGACAGTACTTGAGATCAGGCAAGGAAAAACTCATGCCGTTTGCATAGCGTGTGGGCTGAGTGCACAGTGCCTGTTACAAAGTCTGGCTTTTCCACGGATTCCATCCAGGCCCACTCTTGGCCTCCACCGGTTTTGGAGAGACAGACAGTCTTGCCTTCTTCCAGTTACCTGTTCAACATGCAGTAGTCTGACTCGGTTGCAATCCAGCCTCCACACACAGTATATCCTTTGAATAAATATACTCCAAGAGTATATTCAAAGAAATACCAAGCCAGCCTCTCACACCTTAAACAACCAATAGAGCTCTTTGGCGAAAGTTTTCGAAAAAAGATGTCGTGAGAACTTTGCACCTGTTATCACACAGCAAACTCCCTAAAAATATTATTTGATGATCTCCAGTCTCCTTCTCCTGATGGCTACTAAGGCTGTCTCCCAACAGTCCCTTCACCTCCTGATGTCTGATGGCATCTATGTTATCAGGATTCTCCACACCCTTCTTCCCCGTCGATCATTTACTTTCCTACGTGTCACCTCATGTCTAAATCATGCGTTCCTCTCCCTTATGCTTATATCCGAAACCAGTCTTCCTAAGTGCGTTGATCTGAGCGCCTGGAGACTAGGGTCTTGGAGAAACCATCAGGTATACATGCAGTCGTTGTTAGGAAAGAGAATGTCCAGAATGGGTGAGCTCCAGGGGCAGGGTACATGAGAGGGTTTAAGATCACTCTGCAGTGGACCTGTATACATGGATTCAGAGCGTCCAAACCTGGCTGCCTAGGAGAGCTAACTGGAAACTTTTAGAGAAATGTCCATGCCTGAGACTGATCTTGGAAAAACTAAACCAGAACTTTGGAGGACCCTTAAGTATATTAGGTGTTTTGTTGTTTGATTTTTTGACTGAGTCTCACTCTATCACAAGACTGGAGTGCAGTGGCATGATCTCAGCTCACTGCAATCTCTGTCTCCTGGGTTCAAGCAATTCTCCTGCCTCAGCCTCCTGAGTAGCTGGGACTATAGGTGCATGCCACCGTGCCCAGCTAATTTTTGTATTTTTAGTAGAGACCAGGGTTTCACCATGTTGGCCAAGATGGTCTCGATCTCTTGACCTCATGATCCGCCCCCCTCAGCCTCCCAAAGTGCTGGGATTACAGGCATGAGCCACTGCACCCGGCCAAGCATATTGGTTTTTAGCTAGCTCCCCTGTGTTTCTAATGTGCAGCCAGGAAGAAACTGCGCGTTTGTTTGATGTTCTCCAGCAGCTCCCGGAGGTCCGCATGCCCCACAGGGTGGCAGCAGGAACCCATGGCGGCCCCACAGTCTCCCTGTGCCCTCTTCTCCACGTCTATGCTTTCTCCAGACTTGGAGGTAATTCTTATCGCTTCAAGATTTTGCTTAAAGAATTTCGTTTTATCCCTAATGATCCCCTATACCAGGATTTCACTTTTGGAAATGTAAGTCCACAAGTCCGATAGACCGTGTGTGCGTTCTTTCAGCATGTGAGAGAAGGGGAGTGGAGCCCAGGGAGCGGAGTACAGGGAGCATCTCAAAATCCTTCTGTCACTTTTGAATGGAAAAGAAATGCATAATACTGAAGAGTCGGGATTGGGGGTGAGAGTCACACAGTCTAAACAATATGTGGCAATGTGGGAAATTCCCCAAATCTCTGCTTCATTAATGATAATAAAATTGTATTAAACCATTTAGGAGCATTTTATTTACATTTAAAAAAAAATTTACACATTTTATAAAAATGGTCAAGGCCAAGTTCTCCATCCAGAAATTAAGCTGATTGTTTTTTTAAAAATATGACATTATTGCACATGATGAATCTGGTTTCGGTCATCTGCAGGGAGTTTTGCTATGTGACTATCCTTTGTTCTCACACATAGATTGCTTTATTTTAAAAATTCTCACACTTGACACTTCTAGAAATTATACTCTAGTTTCTTTCTTCTCATTTACTGTCAGCCTTCTCATTTAGACTACAAGCCCCATGAGGCCAGGACCTGGTCTTTTATCTCCCCCTGCAACCACCAGGGCACAGAAGATGCTTAACAGACAGTGCCAGGCCAGGCATGGTGGCTCACGCCGGTAATCCCAGCACTTTGGGAGGCTGAGATGGATGGATCACCTGAGTTCAGGAGTTCGAAACCAGCCTGGCCAACATGGTGACACCCCACCTCTACTAAAATAAAAAAAATAGTGCCTCCAATCCCCAGTGATGTTTCTAACATGGTCACATCACTGTATTTCCCTAAAGCTTCCTTCGGACTTTGAATAAAATCCAAACCTGTCTTCAAGGTCCTTTTTCTGGTCCTGGAGGTCTTCCTGGCCTTACATTCCAGTGAATCTGGCCTGCCTGCTGTTCTCTGAATGCACTGAGCTCATTCACACCACCAGGCCTTTGCATTCACTGTGTCCTCTGCCGGAAATGCTGTTTCCTCTGATCTCCGTGTGGCTCTCTCTTTGCTTCACTCGGGTCTCTATTTAAATATGACTTCCCAGAGGGACTTTCCTTGGTGCTTTGTCTAAAACAACCCAACTTTCCCAGATATCCTTGGTCCTTTCACCTTGATTGATTTATTTTAAAATGGTCACACTTTTGTTGCCAATGCTTTTGGTGTTTTGTTCATGAAGTCCTTGCCTACTCCTATGTCCTGAATGGTTTTGCCTAGATTTTCTTCTAGGGTTTTTATGGTGCCAGGTCTTATGTTTAAGTCTTTAATCCATCTGGAGTTAATTTTAGTGTAAGATGTCAGGAAGGGGTCCAGTTTCTGTACCTATGCAACTGTCTTGCATGTTCTGCACATGTACCCCAAAACCTAAAATGCAATAAAAAAATAAAATAAAATAAAAGAAAGGAAAACCTGAAAAAAAATTTAAAAAAAATAAAATAAAAAAAATGGTCACACTTGATACTTCCAGAAGTTGTGTTATACATACTCTCTCCTATTTTACTGTCAGCCTCCTCATTTAGACTATAAGCCCCCTGAGGCCAGGGCCCGGTCTTTTATTACCCCTCAACCACCAGGACACAGAAGATGCTTAACACATATTTGCTGAATTAATAAGTTAAAGAACGAACAAAAAGGGAAATCATCCCATAAAATATGAACTGAGTGAAGCCGTATCTTGAGTGTCTGGAAACAAATTAAAAGAACAAATTATATAATGAAATTGTGAATTTGGAAATGTTCCCAGGTTATAGCCTTTTCTATTCAGAAATCAACTCCCCAACCACTGGTCTTGAGTGCACACTGAGGACCTGCAGTTATGTATCAGCAAAAGGGTAAGAAAAGGGGGATGCAAGACTGAGCTGAAACCCCATCCGCAGTTGCACGGAAATAAATAGGAATGGGTGGATTAGAACAGCCAATCTGTCCCTGTTATCAGTAGTTCTCTCTCTCTGGCTATTTTAGCAGTTAATTTCCCAGCTCAGCTGCAGCAGCTTCTCTTCTGTAGAAAAACAGATGACATTTCACTTTGAAAGAAGAATCCATTGTTCCCTGAAATGTGATGAACTGAAAGCCAACATTTCCTTTTTTATCTATAAACAAATCTTTCAAACAAAACAATGTCACCAGTCCGAGTTCCAAGTAACTTTACTACCTTAGGAACTATGCTTCCCTTTCTATATGATCCTTTTTTAATTCTCAGAATGCTAGTTTCAGTTACTGACATAGTGCTCAATCCAAAGACTCCACGAATATAAATATTTCCACCTCCCTTTGCATTTTAACAATTACAGAGAATGGTCAGAATGGACACACATGATTATGGCGGCGTCTAATACTGATTGAATGGTATTGTCTTAGTTAAAAATCTGTTACCAGTATTTTTATTGGTTAAGAAATAAATTGGTACTAATACTTGTACACACAAACTCGAGTGAGTCTCAGAAAGCGATGGCTCAGGTGGAACTCTCCAGAGTAACCCACTCGGGAGAAGGGACCGGGACCCCTCTGCACTTCTGGTACACAGATGTGGAGAACTCATGGGTTTCTTTCACTGCATTAGCTCGGTCTACAATTCTCCAACAATTAAAATGGGAATCGGAATGACGCCCAGTGTACATTTGTGTGGGACATTTATTTTTCTCTGCTCACAGATTTTTGGGCCATTCACAATGCTGAGCTATTCCTAGCTCCTGCCTCTTCATCCATCACACGGGAGAATTGCTAGATATCACCCTCTCCACAGAAGTTTCAAAAAATAAGGCACCTTTAACAGAGATGATTCTCTTTGAATAATCTTTCTTATAAGATTTTATCCCAAGGAAATAATAAGATTATGTCCAATGGCATTTCCAAACAGGAGATTATAACAGCTGTTGTAAAGAATTAAAATATGGGAAAATCCTAAACATTGAACACTAAGGGTTGGTGAAATTAGTGGGAGCATTCCATTTAGCAATAGCTACAACAGTTGAGTACTTACCATGGCTGGCACGGTACCAAGCACCTAACACTTTTTACAGAAAGGCGTTAGTATTGCCTGGGTGAATGCACACACGTAATAATCCACAGCTTTAAACATGACATTTTAAGTGTTTACTTGACAAGGCAGAAGCTCTGCTGGGCAGCTATTGCTACCATAATGCTACAGATGAAGCAGTCTCCAAATCCCAGTGACTTCCCACCACGAGCATGTATGTTTTGGTGGAGGGCCTGTGTGTTGGCGGTGGCTGTGAGGGTCAGATCTCTTGCACACAACTCCTGTTGCTTCTCGTCCTTGGAGCAGCAGATATGGAGGCATGTTTTCCTCATGGCGGCTGGCAGACGGACACGAAGGCTAGTCACACACACAAAGTACATTCAGAGCTGTGTTCACAGCATCGTGGCTAACACTGCAGGTAGGAAACATATCCCGTGACAAAGATCCAAATCAGAGGGTCAGGACTTTAGTGGAAGCGCTCTGGAGTCATGTGGAACAGCACAAGGATTTCTATGTCTATCGCTACGAGAGAATGAATAATTGAGAAGAAAAAGATAATCTACCGTATGTTTACAATATCCCCTTAAGAAATATGCATATTTGCCTAAATATCTGTTGCCGACCTACCTATCTAATGTGTGTGCGTGCACTTGCACAGGTAATGCGTATGTATAGGCACACACAGACGTACCTATGCTTGTACAAATAAGGTGTGCAGTAGTCGTACCCGAGTGCTAGAAGTTAAGCTGTTATCCCAGGGAGGATGAGTACGTGGACTTTTTTCTCTGGCTAATCTAAGTTTTCAGGTTTTTTGATAATCAAGCTGGGATGAGCCACATTTCATTTTTAGAAGAGAACTAAATTACATCCAAGCAGGTGGATTACAACCAAGGTCCTGAATATACTGGGGGTGGTTAACTCTACATGCAGAGTCTGGGCATGCTAGGCTCTGCCCTGGACTGGTGAACCCTGGCCTGCCACCCTGCAGAGCAGAGGTCTTCCTCTGAATGCCGAGATGGCCATCAAGACCCCAAATGCATTCAGGGAAGTGGGGCTCCCCACCACCTGACCCAGTCTCCCTCCTGTCTGATATCTGAGGTGGTACCTACAGAGGGGCTCTTCCTAACCTGGCCAGACCTCAGGCCTTTGTTGCTCTCAGGAAAGTCAGTGCTGAACGCACCAAGCATCTGGCTGGTCTGAAGTCTCTGCTCTCTAGCAAGCCCTTCCGTCATTTATTGTCCTTTTCTGGAGCAGGGATAGTGAATACCAGGTTTGTCCTTAATTCTCTGGTGTGGAAAGCTCTTGAAGGACTCTGCTTCACTTAAAGGAAAATATCAACCAGATGAATTATTAAAGGTTCTGACCACAGAGCAGGAGGAGGTAAAATTGGACAAAGTAATCCTAATGTCGTTCAGGGCCGGCTGTTTCACATCTCATAGAATATTGCTATCGGGCCCTCGGGTGCCTTGGTGAAAACAGTCAAGTGAGACACATTGGCTTCAAAAGAAAGACAAAAGAAGGAAAAGGACTCATCAAACCTTCCTTTCCTTGCACCACCTCTTCAGGACAGCCCTGCTCAGGTTCCAAAATGAATGTCCTAAGGTCGGATTCTGTGGCAGGCGTGTTCGATTGGCTCCCACAGGATGTCTTGGTTCTTTCAGGGAGCGTCTAGCACAAGCAAAGAAAGCTTGGATCCCACAAAAGCAATATAACAACCTCACTGAGCGCCTGCCGTGAACCAAGGCGTGCAAGGGAGACAGAACTGAGCACACGGCTGCCCAACAGCAGCCAGAGTTCAGAAGGACATAGGAGGAAGTCAGACTCAGCTCCCACAAACGAGTTGCATGACGGCTGATAAAGCTCACCATCGACAGCGACACATTCAGTTTTTAAAAATCACCTTATGGACCAAAGCAGAAGTGAACCCAAGACACCAATGCAACAGACAAAACACAACTATGAGCCCATTCTGGAACCGCCAACCTCAGTGACCAAGAGGCTAGTGCTGCTTCCTTCACACATTCCTACTCATCCAACGTGCAGGTCTTTGTTCAGCTGGGATGTGTGGCTGGGGGACGTGGGCCATGTGAGGAGAGAGCTCATGAGAGTCAGGAGCACAGATGGAATAGCTCAGGGATGCAGACCTGGTGGAGACGTAGAGGGGTGCTGGGGCTGGGGGGCAGAAAAAAGACTAGAAAGTCAGGGAGGAACCAGTCACGGAGGACCGAGGAGAGCGGGCTGGGTGTTCTCCTTTTCACCCTGCAGGCAGTGGAGGGCTGGGGTCTTTGAAGGTTTTGAGTAGGAACAGATGGGTGCTTTGGGGAATATCACTCAGGAGCAGTGCCTGGGGCAGTTTGGCGATGCTGAAAGAATGAAAGCAGAGACTTCACAGGAGACATCTTAGTCCATGAAGGTGGCTGCAACAGAAGGCCACAGACTGGGCTGCTGATAAACAGCAGAATTGCACTCTCACAGCCGCGGACGCTGGAAGGCCAAGTTGGTGGCACCAGCCGACTTGGTGCCTGGTGAGGGCGTGCTTCCTGATTCACAGAACGTTTCCTCACTATTTCCTCACTTGATGGAAAGGGAGAACAAAGGTCTCATTGACGTGTGGTAGTCAAACCGACCACGACAGAAGGAACGGTCTCTTTCCTCCCTCCACACTAGCTCAGCTCAATGAGTTGAAGGCATAGAGGTTCAAAGTCGTGCTTTAGTTTGTTTTCTCTCTGTTAAACTCGCCCTGGTTACATGGGTTTAATCATAGGATTCTCTGATGTGTTCCCAGAACTCAGGGAAGAGTCTAAATGGTATCACATCTACGGAGTGTTCTGCAGAAACTCCTGAAAGGGATACAGCCGTCTAAAGGGATCAGGCCAGCAGTAATGATGGTCACCTAGACCTTAGCAAGCCTTAGCAAGCCTTAGCAAGCCTTAGCCTCACACACCTTAGCAAGCCCACTTCCCCAGGGGAAGCAAAATCCATGCTAAGTGCCTCTGAGTCTCTGGTCTTGCAAGTCTTTCTAATCTACAGAGCTTAACACCACTACATGGAGTTTTTCCTCCTGTGTCATCTTCCCATTACAGATTGGTTGTTCAAGAAGAAAAGTGAGATCACTTACCAAAATGGAAATAAGATAGAAAAAGCCTCTCAGCGGCCCCTCCTGGCTGCCCACTCTGCTCTCACCTCCCTGGGCTACACCCACGTGCTCTTCAGGAGCCCACAGTTCCTGGGATAATGGCTGTGCAGAGGCCCTGGCTGCTGGGCCTTTCTGAGAAGTTATTAAGAAAGAGAACACTTTGCTGGCTTTTGGGTTCAGATGGTTTATGTCAATTACATGATCTTCGGAGGAAAGAAAAGGTAATTTCACTTCACTTCCCTGGCCTCACTGTGCTTTGATGAGCTCCGGAAATAACAGAGTCAGAATCCAAGTCTGTTAACGACTTTCAGAGACTCTCCCACGTGGCACCGAGTCCTGTCTCAACTGCCACCCACATCACTGAGTGAATGTGGAATTAACCTTCACTGTGAGAATTTTGCTTGTTAATTTCCTAAGCCTAGAACATAAATTAAATTATTTGTGTATAAATTTAATCTTTTCTAAAAACAGGATGAAACAAGCATAAACAATGAAAAGGCACCTTTAGCACGTGGCTCTATTCACAGCAGGGAAACCTCCCCTAGAATATTCACTTTGCTCCTCTGCAGTCACCTTCAGGGAACACGATCATTTCTTTCCCACGTGGCTCATTCTCTTCTTATTGGCCTCAACTTTAACCTCGTGTCTTTATTTTTTTTTAACAGTTTTTTAAGCTTTATTGAGGTATAATTGACAAATTAAAGCTGTATCTATTTAAGGTGTGCAATATGGTATTTGGATAGATGCAAACATTGTGAAACCATCGCCACCGTCAAGCTCATTCACATCACCTGGCAAAGTTATCATTTTTATGTGCTAGTAGTACTAACACTTAACATCTACTCTTGCGAATTTCAAGTATACAATATGTTGTTATCAACCACAGTCACCTTGCCGTATGTCAGATGTCCAGAGCTGAGACCTTGTACTCTTTGACAAATGTTTTTCTGTATCTCACTGCCTACCTGCCCCTGGAAACCACCATTCTACTCTCTTATTCCCATAGAATCCAGCAATCCCACTAATGAGTACTTATCCCCTTAAAAATAAAATCAGCATCTCTCATGTCCATTGAAGCTTTGTTCTCAATAACCAAGACACAAATTCAATCTAAATGTCAATGGACAGATGGACCAATAGAGATAATTATTGCATGTGTGTGTATGTGTACATATAGATGTGTGTATATATATGGGCATGTGTGTGTATATATATGTGTGTATATACACACATAATATGTTACATGGCAATTTATATGTGAAAGTCTATCAGTTAAAATTAGAGTCAATGGCTTGAATAAGATAAAAGTTATCTCTCTCTGTTCATAAAGCAATATTTTTTAAAATTTTTGTTTATTGTTTTTTTTTGAGATGGAGTCTCGCTCTGTCACCCGGACAGAGAAAGTGTAGTGGCACGGTCTCAGCTTTTGCAACCTCCACCTCCCAAGTTCAAGCAATTCTCCTGCCTCAGCCTCCCAAGTAGCTGGGATTACAGGTGTACGCCACCATACCCAGCTAATTTTTATATTTTCAGTAGAGACGGGGTTTAACCATGTTGGCCAGGCTTGTCTCAAACTTGTGACCTCAAATGATCCACCTACCTCGGCCTCCCAAAGTGTTGGGATGACAGGCGTGACCCACTGCACCTAGCCTCATAAAGCAATTTAAAGTCAGGCATCTGAGATTGGTGGGAAGCCTTGAATGCCTTGAATGACTCAAATTACACATACACACACACACATATATATATAAAATTCCATATATACGCGAGTGTTATTCAGCCTTAAAAAACACGGCCATCCTGCCATGACCCCACTGGAGATTTTCCGTCAGCCTTCCTTGTCACCAGTTGCTTAGTTCTCTTTCTTTAGCTCCATTTTACTTTTATGCTCTTTCTAACTGTGATTCTCAATTTGCAAATTTTTATCACCTCGGCATGAGAAACACTTGAGTTTCCCCTGTTTTTCTGGCCTCTTTTTCCTGCATGTCTCTGAGGTTGTGCTTTTTCCACCCCACATGGAAACCAAGAGAGTTGCAAAATAAAGAGACTTTTTTCGCCTAATAGCTGCTACATTAGAAAAGTGTTTCACTGAACTAGAAGAAGGAAAATAAAATAAAATCTTGGAGTAAAGAAAACGGTGGAGAACAGAGATGGCGCAGCACGTACAGGAGTAAGGCTGGGCGGGGGTGGCACAGACGGAGTGTGGTGAGTGAGGGCGGGAGGGTGAGGAGGATCTGGGATGTGCTGTGTGCCCAGAGCCCCACAGGTGCAATTTATATGTGAAGGCCCATTCATTAGGGCTAGAAAGTGGCTTGAATGACATAAAAGGCACCTCTCTCTGTTCATAAAGCAATTTGAAGTCAGCCAGTCTGAGGCTGGTGGGATACCTTTAATGATGCAAAGGACCCAAACTGCTTCTATTTTTCTGTTTAGCTGACATAACTCAAAGTCAAGGTGACTTTTTGACCCAAGACAGCTGCTGGTGCTCCACTTATCACATCCACATCCTAAGCAGCAAGAAAGAGTAGGAAGCGGGAAAACCAAATGAATTATACCCTGTCACCTGCATCCACTCCTTTCCAGAACTTCTACATAGCTGAGTTCCTGGTATTCAGTACTTAACAACAGGGCACAGGAGGTCGGACACAGTGAAACCATAGGATCGAGTTGTCCATCCTAAAGAAGAAAACAGAATGAATTGTAGTAGGTACTATCCACCTTCTCCTCCTGCTCTGCTTTCTGCACATCAAAGGGAGAAAAGTGAAGTCAGTGCATTGATTTGCCTGGCATGCTTGCTCCCTGCACCATGCTGTTGCTGCAGGCTGGCCGCATCCTTTACCGGCAGTCCTGGTTCCTTTCTGGTGGCCTCCTAAGCACAGCCCTCCCTGTCTCTGTGTTCTCATGTGCTCTGCAGGCCCCAGTCCCTGCAGCCTGGGAAAAGGGAACAGTGTCCTGCTATCAGCAGTCCTTGGTGTTGACCTCCACGTCCCTTTACAGAGTCTTATTTGTTAATTTTTCTTCTGATTTGCCCAACTCGTGTCTTCCATCTGTTTCCTACCGGGGCCCTGGACTGTAAATCAACTGTTCTTAACCCAGACGATGCGGGGAGGATGAACCAGATACTGCTCCCCAGGCAGGGCCAGGCAGGAGGTGTTTGACCTTTGTGTAGGCAGGACCCACCAGAATACTGCAAGTGACCTGGAGCTGTTCGGCCAGCTACTGCATGCTGACTAAGTGGGGGCACTAATAATGTCACCAGCGGCGTTACTGTAGCAGATGGGAATCTCCGGCCACACCATCAGGTTCCGGCAACGCACATTTATATTTTCCTAAGTGAACGTATTTCTATTTCAAATCCCCATTGTGCTGAGTGGTAGAAACTTGATTTCATTTGATTCTAGGTCATCTCGTCTCAGGCAGTTCAGTTCTTTCTTCACCCTTTTTCAAGGTTGTATCAGTTCCAAGGTCCAGGAAGAAGGGCCTCTGATCCTCTGGTTGCACCTGTTTCTGTTGCGTCTTCTGAGATGCACATGATCTCCGCAGCGCTTGGTAGTTAACTCATGGTGATTGATGCTGCTTCCTTTCTGTGGCTCTAGCTCAAGGGTCAGTTCCGGCTGAGCTGCTCCCAAGCCACTCTGGAGACACAGGAAAATCCTGTAGTATAAAAACACAAAATGTGACGGGGCGCGGTGGCTTATACCTGTAATCCTAGCACTTTGGGAGGCCGAGGAGAGTAGAACACAAGGTCAAGAGATCTAGACCATCCTGGCCAACATGGAGAAACCCCGTCTCTGCTAAAAACACAAAAATTAAGTGGACCTGGTGGCGTGCACCTGTAGTCCCAGCTACTTGGGAGGCTGTGGCAGGAGAATCGCTTGAACCTGAGAGGTGGAGGTTGCAGTGAGGAGATCACACCACTGCACTCCAGCCTGGCCACAGAGCAAGACCCCAACTCAAAAATATATAATATATTTATATATATTATATATTATATTTACAATATATTTACATATATTATATATTATATTTACAATATATTTATTTATATCTATATGAATAAATAAATATATTTATATCTATATAAATAAATAAATATATTTATACCTATAAATATATATTTACATATATCTATTTTTTTTGCATGGCCCAGGTATTATGTTAGTAACCATAATGTGTTTATAAAGTATGAATATAACTTTTAGTTAAATTTGATCTGATGTAATTATAGATTCACATACACTTGTTGGAAATAATAAGGATCTCGTGTACCCTTCGCCCAATTTTCCCCAGTAGTAATGCCTTGCAAAACTGTAGCATTGATGCCACTACCATGGTATTGGCATTGATACAGTCAAGGTAAGTATTTCCGTCCCCCCAAGAAACTCTGTCACCTCTTTATAGCTCTACTCGCTCCCCCCTTGGTCCCTGAGCGTTCTTTTCTCATCTGGGAGAACTTAGCACATGCTCCCTGGATAATCCCCACTGACAGCTTCCTCCTAAGCATTCTCAGACACCACCCCAGGTTATGAAGCGGACGGGGAGTTGGAATACCTCTTGATACCTTCTGAGGTTGGAAATCAGGGTGCCAGTTGGGTTTCTGAGGCATGGATGAGTGTGGCCACAGCTTTTTTGTAGTGTCAGGCTGGAGCAGAGAGACTCTTGTTCTGTTGTGTTTTGTTTTTGCCTTGCCAGCTGCCCCTTTTCTAGTGTTTTGCTTACAGAGAGTGAGATTTTTCTGGGGCTCTGTTGTTTGTGTGCCCTTCAACATTTATAGCTTTTCAGCTTCTGGAATAGAGGAGGTGAAAATGAAACACAGACAGCTCACTCCCACGGCATTCCCTGGGCTCCCAGCTTCCTAACCCTGTGCCTTTTCGCCCCACCTTTCAGTGTCTCCTGGTGCTGTTGCTATATGTCATGTTACGGTCTTTTTTTTAATTCAGGGACTCACTCTGTCGCCAGGCTGGAGTCCAGTAGTGCAATCTCAGCTCACTGCAACCTCCACCTCCCAGGTTCAAGCAATCCTCTTGCCTCAGCCTCCTGAGTAGTTGGGATTCCTGTTAATTTTTGTATTTTTGGTAGAGATGGGATTTTGCCATGTGCTCAGTCCGGTGTCAAACTCCTGGGCCCCCCAAATGATCCTCTTACCTTAGTCTCCCAAAGTACTAGGATTTATTTGCACTTAGCAGAAGGAATAGGAAATAGTTTATCTTCCTGAAAAGTCCCGATATCTGTGTTTATGTATACGTATAAATGTTAAATAATGGTAAGTATGTGCAAGGCATGCTGCGCTAATGATCTCCTCACTGTCTGGGCAGAGGAGGGAAAGTGGCAGTCTACACACAGTGCCTCTTCTGATGGACTTCTAGACCCCAGTGGCTATGACAACACCCAGGACATGGTGACTATCTGTGACTCTTTACTGCATTCATGTGCCAGACCTGCACAACCATGGGAACAAACCACGGGGTGTATCTTACAAGGTAAGAAGGAGGAAGGAGACTAACACCAGGGAATAGAAACGATTACATTACTTTAAATGAACATTTAATTGTGTAGCAATTTTAGCTTTACCACAAATGGAGAAGAGGTCCAGACCCCGCATTCAATTTGACCCTTTACTAGCATTTTAAATTACAGTGACACATTTATCCAAAATAATGAACACATGTCAGTACACTATCATTAACTACAGGCAGATCATCAGTTTTTTCTCTTCTTTTAAACCTAATGACATTTTTCTGTGCCAGGATTCCATCCGGAATGCCACATGCCATTTAATGGCCCTGTCTCCTTAGGCGTGACACTTTGTCAGACTTTTCCTGAGTTTGGTGACCAGTTTGGAAGAGTACTGGTCAGTAACTATAGAATGTCCCTGAATGGGGGAAAAAGCCCTGAGGCTTTTTGTACTTACGGGTTTCAGAGGAAGAAAATCACAGAGCTAGAGTGCCATTCTCATCGCTTCATATCAGAGGTGCACTCGCCCACGCGATCCGTGTGACTTACGACTGATGGCTGTGGATGATGATTTTGACCACCTGGCTGAAAGAGTCTTTAGTTTCCGACCACAAAGGTATTTTTTGTTCTCAATTTCTCTGCTTTGCAATTGGGAACAAGTCACTGTGAGCAATCTACACACGTGGAGTAAAGAGTTATGCTTCACCTTGAGGATGCAGTGTCTGCATGAGTCATTCTGCTCTGTTTGTTTTTTATTTTACTTTAGTTCTGGGATGCAGGTTTGTTGCAAAGGTATGCATGTTCCACGGTGGTTTGCTGCACCTGTCAACCCATCATCTAGGTTTTAAACCCTATAGGCATTAGGTGTTTTTCCTAATTCTCTCCCTCCCCTTGCTCCCCGCCCCCTGATAGGCCCCAGTGTGTGATGTTCCCCTCCCTAGGTCGATGCGCTCTCATTGTTCAACTCCCACTTATGAGTGAGAACATGCAGTGTTTGGTTTTCTGTTCTTCTGTCAGTTTGTTGAGGATGATGGCTTCCATCTTTATCCATGTCCCTGCAGAAGACATGAACTCATTCTTTTTGATGGCTACATAGTATTCCATGCTGTATATATGCCACGTTTCTTTATACAGTATATTGTTGGTGGGCATTTGGGTTGGTTCCAGGTCTTTGCTATTGTAAATAGTGCTACAATGTACATTCATGGGCATGTTTTATAGTAGAATGATTTATAATCTTTTGGGTATATACCCAGTAGTGGGATCTAAGGAGATTTATTTTTCCTATTTATTGATTCATCCAATCATGTATTTATATCAGGTTAAACTCATGGACATGTATTTTGTAATGTGGACAATAGTCCAATATATATACTTGAAATATATATATTTTGGACTATTGTATACATTTGAAATATATATATATTTCAAATGTTCCCAGTCTTGAACATTGAGAGTACATTCAATTGGCTCCTGTGTTCTTCCCACATGCCACCATTGTGTGTGTGTGTGTGTGTGTGTGTGTGTGTGTGTGCACTTCCTTAGCTTCTGAAACTAAAATGCTCAAGGCTTGTCTTGCTCTGTTCAGGCTGCTATAATCAAATATTTTAAACTGCGTGTCTTATCCATAGCTGATAAACACTGACTTCTCAAAATTCCGGAAGCTGAAAGTCCAGAACCTGAGCACTGGTAGATTTGGTGCATGGTGAGGGCTGGCTTCCCCATTCACAGATGGCATCTTAGTTGCTGTGCCCTCACATGGAGGAAGGGGAGAGAGATCTGTCTGCGGCCTCCTTTATACGGTTGCTAATCTCATTCAAGAGGGCACCACCCTCACGGTCTAGCCCTACATCCTAATACCATCACCTTGGGAGTGAGTGGTGCAGCATGTACATTTCAAGAGACCAGAAAGACTCACCTTATGGTGAGGCTCATCGTCTGCATTTCTTGCACAAGTCCTAGAATTTGCCATTTCTCTGAGGACCTTTGCTTTTTTTTTAATTTTTATCTTGGTGCTAGGTAAGCTCATTGCAGCTAAATACGAATAACTGTCTGGCTACTTTCCTACCAGTAAAGAGAGGAAAGTGATAGAAAAATGACCCATGACTTTCAAGGTGCCACAGGTATCTAACATTTAAAGAATAACCTCCTTTAGTTAGGTACATACACATGTAGGATCATTACATCTTCTTGGAGAATGGAGAATGGACACTGGATCGCTACGTAACATGCTTCTTTATCACTGATAATCATCCTTGTTGTGAAGACTGCGTTGTCTGGAATTAATATAGCTAGACCAGATTTCTTTCGATTCATGTTAGCATGTTGTATCGTTCTCATTTCTTTACTTTTAACCGGAGTCTTCATAATTAAAGTGAGTTACTTGTAATGAAGATATGGCTGGATCTGGATTTCACTTTATCCACTCTGCTGAATTTTGTCACTTAATAAATACATCGAGATCATTCACATTTAAAGTGAGTTTTGATGCCATTGGGTAAATATAAACCGTCATTTTAACCATTTCCTGTACATGGCATTTGTTCCTTGTTTCCTCTATTGTTTTTTGCCTTTTCTTGTTTTAGGTTTGCATTGTATTCATTCCATTTGATCTCCTCTGAATTACACCTAAAACATTTTTAGTGGTTACCCTGGAGTTTACAATATACATCTTAACTAACGTAAATTAACTTTCAAGTTACTTTCTACCACTTCCCATATTATGCAAGCAGCTTATAACAGAGTATTCCCAATCCCTTAGTCCTGTCCTCAGGAAAATGATATGATTCACCTTAGCTGTTTACATTCTGTAATTGACCATTACAGTGTTACTACTATGGGTTTAAACAGTTACTTTTTCAATCAACTAATAATTGGAAACATAACATTTTATTTTCCCTTCCCGTACGCCTCTTCTGATGTACTTTATTTTTCTATGTAGTTTCCAGGGTCTACCTTATAACATTTTCTTTCTGACTGAGTCAAGTGTTTTCACATTTCTTGCAGGGAAGATGAGAAGATGAGCCAGGGATGAATTCCCTCAGGTTTTTGTTTGTCTGAGAATGTCTTTACTTTTCTTTCACTGTTGAAAAATTCTTTCACTGGATATAGAAGTCCAGATTGATTTTTCACTTTCGTACTGTAAATATTTCATACAATCCTCTTCTTGCAGGGCATCTGATAAGAAGTCTACCATAACTATTTTTCTTGTACTTCCATAGGTAAGGTAAGATGCCCAACCTCTCACTAGGGCTTCTTTCAACAATTTTTTTTGATTTTTAGTTTTCTGTAATTTGAATGCAATCTGTCTATTTTACGTATGTGTGTATGTATGTGCATACATGTATGTGTGTATGTATGTGCATACATGTATGTGTGTGTATACATGTATGCATGTATGTATTATTCTACGTGGTGCTTTCCGAGTTTTTCCTGGATGTCTGATTTGGTGCCTGTCATATATTTTGTAAAGTTCTAAGCCGTTTTTATGTCAAATATTTCTTCCACTCCACTATCCCTTTCACACCCTTCTGGTATCCCAATTATGCAGATGTTACAATTTTTGAAATAGTTGCACAATTCCTGAATTTCCTGGGGTTCTTTGTTGTTTTTGTTTTATTTTATTTATTTATTTATGTATTTTTTAAATTTTTTATTGGATTTTAGGTTTTGGGGTACATGAGCAGAGCATGCAAGACAGTTGCGTAGGTACACACATGGCAGTGTGCTTTGCTTTCCTTCTCCCCTTCACCCACATTTGGTATTTCTCCCCAAGCTATCCCTCGCCACCTCCCCCTCCCACTTGCCCTCCCCTTTTCCCCCCAATAGACCCCAGTGTTTAGTACTCCCCTCTCTGTGTCCATGTGTTCTCATTTTTCATCACCCGCCTATGAGTGAGAAAATGCCCATTGATAATAGACTGGATTGGAAAAATGTGGCACATATACACCATAGAATATTATGCAGCAATCAGAAATGATGAGTTTGTGTCGTTTGTAGGGACATGGATGAATCTGGAGAACATCATCCTCAGTTGTTTTTCTTTTAATAGTTTTCTTTTTCCAAATCAATTTTTCATATTTCTTGACCTATTTTCAAGCTCAGCGGTTTTTTTCCCTTGGTCATATGAACTCTACTGGCAAGCCCAGTGAAGATATTCTTCATTCCTTCTACAGTGCTTTTGATTTCCAGCTTTTTCTTCTGTTTATTTCCTTCTTTCTGTTTACACGACCCCTCTGTTCCCGCGTGTGTTTCGCATTTTCTCTTACAGT